GAACAATCGAGTTGGAATTTGATGTGACATTTGATATGACTCGAATTCAATTTTGCACTTATAAGTATATTGAAATTTAATCTGAATTATATGAATATAGGATTTCTCGAATTTTGCCGAATATAAATATTGGATAAGTGTTCAAATATCAGATTGCAAATTTTGCATGATGGATCGTGGAGAATTGGAAATTATTTTTCAAATTTATATACATAGGGAAGATCGAATGAAAAAGAGGGTGAAATGTTAAAATAAAGATAGTTTTTTTCGTGATAAGAGGAATCCCTGATAGTAACGAGCAGTTGTACCATCGTCTGGAGTAGTTATCCAACTTTTACTGTACGTCACGTGCCATGAATTAGAGCTTATCAATCATCCAACTTCGAGACCACCATTCCTTAATGATTATTCGATCGATTCTAATTTCGATTTAATTTCATCATACGTCAGCAAGGTGACCATGTTTCTCAGTTTGAAATTTAGAGCTTAGAATTTGAAAATTTTAATTTCCCTTATAACTTACCAAGGCCTGAAAATGTATATGAGTATATCATATTTTTAAAAATTATAAAAGGAATATTCAATATAAAAAAATAATAAAATTAATCGAAAAATTCGGGACGTCTTAATTACTCAACGAGGCTGTCAATATATATCTAATGTCAAGATCGTGCATATCGTTTAGATAAAATATACGGACGAGGAATTTAATGATGGTTTTACGATGATTATTAAGGCGTTATAAAATGGCAGATAGTAATTACAGCTATTTGTCCGATATATTCTAAGATACGAGAAGATGGTCTCGAAGCCAGTAGCGTGTATAATTACACACACTCGTAGCTGGCGTCAAAACAAACGAGTCGATGAGGTTTTACCAATCGGTTAATTTAATAGAAAAGAAAGAAGACACGTTATACTCGCGCGCAGAGAGTGGGCGATCAATCTCGCGAGCCGGGGTCGAACGAGCCCCAACCACCACAGTCCACGTGACTGCTTTCAACCG